GCCCGGCTCAGTTTAGCCAAAAACGACTTGAATACATCAACCAATGCAAGAGAACAATTTCAATTAACAAAACTATGATTCTTATACAATTTCGAAAAAGTCAACTCCCCGGGCCCGCACCTCGTAACCCGACAAAATTTACAAAAAACCAAACGCCCATTCCGCTACGAGTTCAACCATACAAAAATTATCAAATTCCGATACTATTTATTCATTCAAATCATCATTTTACATTTTTGAAAGATTTCACAATTTTCCCCAAGTTTTCCTTTAGATTCTCATGAATTTGATGTTAAATCTAAGATATAATCACAAAATATAGTTGTAAATTGATTATAGACGCTTACCCAATGATTTGGTATGAAGATCTTCCCTCAAAATCACCTACTCTCGGACCTAGGGTTCAAGAATATGAAAAATGAAGCTAGAACTCGGAATTCTCAGCACTTAACAGGTTGCAAATGTCGCATTTGCGACAGGGGGTTCGCAAATGCGATCATCGAAAATGCGAAAATTATATCGCAAATGCGAACTGGAGGCCCCCTGCTTAGGTCGCAATTGCGACCCTTCACCTCGCAAATGCGAAGACAGAAATTCGCAAATGCGGCAGAGTTCTTCGCAAATGCGAACTTTGCCCAGCAACCCAGACTTTGCAATTGTAATGGCTGCTTCACAATTGCGGAAGTCGCATTTGCGACAAAACATCACAATTGCGATGATACCAGCACTAGAAATCAAAAACCATGCAAAATCATTCCGAAGCCAATCCGAAACTCACCCGAGCCTCGGAGCTCCAAACCAAATATGCACACAAGTCTAAAAACACCTCACGAACTCGCTCGCGCGCTCAAATCATCAAGATAACTTCAAAAAACGAATTGGATGCCAAAACGCATGAAAAATCACCATGAACTTCAAGAACTTCTAGAATTGCAACAAGCGTCCGAACCATATCAAATCAACTCCAAACGACACCAAATTTTGCAGGCAAGTCCCAAATGACATAACGGAGCTGTTCCAACTTTCGAAATCGCGTTCCGACCTCGATAACACAAAAGTCAACTATGGTCAAACCTCTCCATTTTCCAAACTTCATCTTTTCCAACTTTCGCCGAAATGCCTCAAATCACCCTACGGGCCTCCAAATCCAAATCCGAACACACGCCTAAGTCCAAAATCATTATACGAATCTACTGAGATCATCCAAAACTCATTCCGGAGCCGTTTACTCAAAAGTCGACTTCCGGTCAAACTCTTACCGCTTAAGCTTCCCAAACTAGATTCTTTCTTCCAATTCGACTCTGATTCATCCGGAAACAGATTCCAACCATGCACGCAAGTCGATACACATAATATGAAGCTGCTCGTGACCTCAAACTGCCGAACTGGACGCAATTGCTCAAAACGACCAGTCGGGTCGTTACAGCTAAAGGCCTTCGTGCTTTTAATATAGTACTAGTCTTAGGCTACGGGTGTTGTGCGTGTACCCTGCAATACGTATATATTTTCTTAAAATATTAAGTAATATATGTGTGACGTAAAACAAAGATTAAATAAAAAAATTTAAATCTCTGAATATGGAGAAGGTTAATAATACTTAACTAACTAAACAAAGAATTGTAATTACTTTTTATTCTATGTTTAGCTATTTGTTTTAAATAAAGTGTATCTTCGATGACATGGAATTGGAGGAACGTAATGTAATTAACTTTTTATTGTACGTTTAGTCAATTGTTTTCTAAATAAAATAGTACTTCCTTACAAAAAGTATTCATAAAACTTCTTACAAAATAAGAAAAGGTAAAAAAGCAAACATTCTTAGAGTTCTTAACATAAACAATAAAAGAAAATACGCATCTAATAAAAAATCATATTATCTAGTTATTATGTGTATGAACATTTAACATTTAAAGGTTTTATTATACTGCCTAACAAAGAGAAATTTAAATTTAAGGAAGCTCCTAAATATTAGGCCAAGTATCTTAATGAGAATTAATTTTAAAATCCTAAATAGTAGGAAGGTAATCTAAATTACAATTTTATCCAATATAAACTCTATTTTTAAAGGGTAAAAAGGACGAACAACATTTCACTAAGGACCTTCGTGCTTTTAATATAATATATAGATAGATATAGATAGATAGATAGATAGATATAGATGAGATATGTCCCTAACAAACCCTAATAGTACATGTGCGAATATTCACTAGAATATTCTCTTTAATATCATATTTAAAAAACTAGCCGTTATTGTTCTATCTATAGTGCTCGACCTCGGTCATTGTTGACAGCTCGACCAAGAATCTCACTGCTTCCTGGTTGACCTCGACCGACACTTTCCTTAATGCTATTTTGCTTCAAATATTCTAGGGCAGATTTTGACCCATACATTCACGACATTACTTTTTATTTTATTTTAATTGTAGTGCACGTTATATTAAAAATATAAATGGTGTAATTCTTCTGCGCCTAAGACACCTGAATATCAAACCAGGATATTTATGATTAAAGGTGTAATTTTTTTTTGTAATTGGTCCTTGATATGGTCTATTTAACAAAAGATCAAATATTCTAGGAGTGTTATTCTAATTTAGTATCATCATTATAAAATTATATGTTACGGCTAAAAAATCATTCAAAACCACAACCCTAATCAGTTCGACCTATAGATTCAACTCCAATTCCGATTAACCAAGGCCGGCTTTAACGTTATAATAGGTAAGGCTTAGGCCTCCAAAGTTGAGGGGCCCATTTTTAACAATAGGTTTATAGGTATTTAAAAAAGGAATTTTTCCTATAGCAAAGGTTAACACCTTATTTATTTTAAATAAATACCATTTAAAATAATTATATTCTATAGATACTTTTAATGTTTATAGCAAAACATTTAATTTTGGTTACCTCCTACCCCTAAGCCACTAAATACGCGATTCAGTTACATTATTTTCTTTCTCTCTCTACTTTGATACATGCCATTCTCTTNAACCCTAACTAACTTTTATGTATCCTGAAAAGGATGATCCGAGAGAAAGTATTGATTGGTTTCGTTCAATAGTATGAGAGAAAGAACTTTGTATTTGGCGGAAAATGGTAGCTTTTGATGGCTTTTCTAAGCTGTGTTTTGCGACAGTGTTCACATATAGCAGGGAAGAACCTATTTTTAATACACAAGGCCCAGTTTCTTTTAAGGAATTTTTACCTCCTATAGCTCGGTTACTGTACAGGATGCGTGGGAACAGTGACATTCAGGGTTTCTGCTTGACGGCGGATTCACCGAAAATTAGGGTTTGTTCTTGAACAAAGACGACGGAGTTTGGGGCTGAGCAACTTGATTTCTGTTAATATATTTCAATGTATCACGCTGTATTTTCATGTATTTCATTGTATTCATTGTCTTTTTTTCTCATTGTAATTCAATGTATCTCGTTGTATTCCATGTATTTCATTGTATTCGCTGTCTTTTTTTACATTGTATTTCAATGTATCCCGTTATATTCTATGTATTTCATTGTATGTCTCTCTATATGCCATGAATGTATTCATATGTTTTTTTTAATTAATATAATTATGTATTCAGATGTATTATATAATTTATCTGAAGATTGCTATGTTTTTGGGGTATTTTTCGGTTGAGAATCTTTTTTATACAAGGAAATAAAAAATTTGTGTGTTATAATTGAGTTTGTTGAGTTATATTAGGAGTCTATTATGTTAATTGATTCACTTTTCGTTTAAAAACAGTGGTATCCCCTGTTTCACGCCGTGAATACAGTCGAATACAATAATCTGTCCAGCTGTAATCCCATGTTTCACGCCATGAATACAGTCGAATACACTCGAATACAACAACTGATTAGCTGGACTTCCCTGATTCACGCCTTTTTTTTTGCTACTGTATTCATGAATACAGTAGCTTAAATACATCTAATATATCTTATAACAACAGAAAACGTATCTATAATCCATAATATAGCAAATGGTATCTATAGATAGCTAATTACCGCTAAAAGATAGTGCTTTATGAAAATTTCTCTTTAAATAACAATATTGAGTACTTTTAATACATAAGTAGAGTTATATATATATATATATANTAAATAAAGTAATAATTTGACTTACTTAAAAATGGGTAGCGGAATAGTTTTTCCAACGTTCCAATTTTTTACTTTTTACTCCTTCATTAGATAATGTATAAAATTTTTACTCCCCCTTTCTTAATCTGTTCAAGTCAATCTTTCTTTTTCCCAATCTCTTCATATTTCAAAAATCCCTACATATTTTTTGGCTTTCTCTTTAATATTCTTACTCAAATTCTTTCTCCAAAATTTTATTAGTTAAAGTGTTCAACAATACTTTTAAGTTTTCAATAGTTCTATACTTCTATTGCTCTATAATATCTTATCTAAAATCAACAATATGTCAAGAAAGACTAAATGAGTTTGCTATAGTATCAATTAAAAAAGAATTATTAGAAAATATCGATTATATAAAAGATTATTAACAACTTTATATCTCAAAAAGCTAGAAGAATATATTTCAAATGAAATATATCTTATAACTTCCTTTTAAAAATTTAGGCCTCATATTAAATTTTGGCATTAGATGCTTGAGCCGCCCCTGCGATTAACCGAAAGCTCTAATTAGAAAACATGTACGTCTTTGTTGTTACCTTCAAGTTTTCACCTATTTTTGGTTCAAAATGTAGCTACAATAAACAGTTTAATTAGTTTGAAAATCACTTTTAAAAATACAAGAAAAAGGGTAAAATAACTCGAGATAACCGTTTCATCCGAAAGTAAAAAGTAAGCATTTATCTCAAATTTGTTACTTGTAATTATTTGATATCTTTAAAGAATAAACTTCCGTTATTACTGGCCTTTTGCTACAATTTCCATATGCTCAACTGAAATGCTACTCTGCACCATATACAATCTATTCTTCAATTAATGAAATCGATTCTTCTCCATTTTTGATACTTATTTTATAACAGGACAGAAAACTTGAGAAAATTAAGAATAAATATGAAAACCAGCAATGTTCCTTAAAACTTACAAGGCACATTGCATCCTTCATAACACTGCTGAAATAGTTACTACTAGGCAAACAAAATACAGTGGTACAATCCATAAGAAAAAGAGGACAAACAAATAAATAACAACCAAAACGTAACAGCTTTTTGCATCAAGAGTTCATATGAGCTTCTTAGAAATTTTGTCATCTTATGTTGTTAGTGAAGATAGAAAATAAGCTGAACCAGCAACCAGCAGGTTGCCCATGTTCTGTTTATGGTTGCCTTCTTAAGCTATAAGTTACTACCCAATATCTATCTCTAAAGTCTTTGTAGTCATAGATCCTGAACCAAAAGATAGATTGGGAGAGAATGGGCCTATCAATCATGACCTTCGCTTGAACCAATCAGGGAGTTCTCAACTGAGTTGTTTAGGTTCTCGAACTTCATCTCTAGTTGCCTAGATGACGGGCGGGAATGCAGTGGAGTGGAGACAGGGGAGCGGGTTCCTACTGGAAGGGGGGAGGAGACGGCCATCTCGAGGTACATGACGACCTACATATAACACCGGCAAGACCTGGAAAGGCAACACAATTGGGTGTTACTACATCCGTATCGAAGAGATGCGACAAAGTGTTCAGATCATTGTGCAATGTCTTAATCAAATGCCTAGTGGCACGATGAAATCTGGTGGCTGTAAGTTATGTCCTTCATCACGTCCTTGAATGATTCCTTTCATTTAGAACGGACAACGGCATTTGGACTATCTCCGAGATCAAATCGACTGATACAATAAAGGAGGTACACAACATAATAACTGTTTTTCTTGTAGTTCAGACTTCAGAGCAGCTAGATAGCAGCCAGTTTTATCACAGGTTGCTTAGAATTGCTATGCACAGAAGTGGCGGGCAATTATTCTACATGAGTTTATTTGAGATTTACTCATGATTCAAAGAAGAGTCTTAAACATCTAAAACTACTCATTCTAGATGCATATACTCAAACTTGAATTATTCTTTTTCCCCTTAAAGCACCACCGATCTTAATGTTGAATTGAGGCAAACCACTAAGTGTAGTTTTTCCTTTTCATGTAATACAATTAATCACTACATATATTTTCTTCGGGAAGGACGAATTACCACCACTAAACTCTATGAGGACCAAAGAATTACCATGTCAATACAATTCATCTTATAGAATCAAATATAGGGCCAAATACAGTACAAGATATAATAAAAATTAAAAACTGAATAAGAAGTTGTGAAAAAATTCATGTAATACCTGTACGCAACATCACCTCAAAATATTGCATCAAGAAATAGAGCAACTCTGAGCTCCCTAGCCAAACGTAGGAGAAACAAGACTCTCCCTAAAGATTGCAGTTCCAGCGTTCTCACACATGGTAGGAATCCCGTCAACCATTATATTCCTCCACCGATCCTCTCTCATACCGTAGACAATCAACTCTCCATCCGCATCTAGTGAAACATCATCCTCACTCATTAAACACAATGGTATCAAATCAGTCACCGAATCCGGTCCTTTAACTACAAATTTGGTCCAAGACTCCTCAACCCCATAGTCTTTCATCATCCAAACATCAATTTCATCATCATGTGTATTAGTGAACATACAAATACACCCTCTAAGAGCCACAAGCTTATTAAACACAAATTTACCTTTATCAAGAGTAGTAGGCGCTGGCACCTCCAAGAATTTATCATCACTTAAATCGAAAGCAACAATTACTGATGAATAACCGGAGGTTTTACTACTAGCTAACCAATGCAAAGCCCCATTTACCAAAACACCAGAAGCAAGTTGAGGAACTGCATGATCATAAGGAGAACTCTCAAGTCTCCTCCAAATATCCTTTCTCACAGAGTAGACATCCACAAAAGTATAATCTATATCTGGCTCGTATTCATTATCCGTATCGTAATAAGAAAGAGTAACCACCTTATAATCATCACTAACAACATCATACCCTAAACCATACATGCTAAAACTACCAGGCACAGGAAGAGCCAAATTAAATTTTGGAATTTCAAAGTAGTCTAAGGTTGTGGGGTTGATCAAAAATTTGATTTCCTCATCATTTACCACCAAGACGAAGCCATTACATGAGCCAGCAACACTTACCCAGTTGTCTTCAAGTTGTTGCTGAAAATTAAGCTTTCTTGAAATGGCATCGATTGTTCCATTTTGGGGGTTGTGGTTAAAAGTGATAGTGTGAAGAGAGTGAGAATCAGAAACAAGAATGAGGTGTTCTTCTTTTTTGTGGGAATTTATAGTGAGGTGAGCTGAGATGAATTGGGGGTCTGATAGAAGAGAGCACCAATGCTTTGATATACACCTGAATTGACCTATGGATTTTGCAGGAAGCCGGGATAGTATGTCAACTATGATTTCTTGGGGTAGTTTTTCAGCTTTGCTAAGTGCCATAGTTGGATCTGGCCTGGGGCTGACTTCAAATATAGCGAAAGAATCGGGTTTGATTCTTGATTTCTAATTGTAAGGATTAAGGAACACTTCCTTTCTAAATCGAATTCACCCCAAATCTACCAATTATAAAATGTTATTTTTCAGTTTTTTCTTTTAAAGTTTGAATTTCTTTTTTCTTCATCCTTACGTCAAAATTTTGGTATGGAGCTTTTGAGCCTTTAACGAGCATTACACTATATGATTTGAATTAATTGGAGTTCCAATAAAAATACCAAAAGATAAAAGAATATTTTGTTCAAAGTTTGGAAATCCGAATTGAATAAAATTTCAAGTAAATTCCAACCAAACGTCAATGATCGTCTCCTCTAAAGAAGAATGATTGGTTTTTACCTCAAAGCATCTAATCTTAGCAGTAAGTTAGGAGTGTCAAACGGGCGGGTCAAAAATGGGTAATGAAAAAATAGACCAATTATCCGACCCGATCCATATTTAATACGGATAAAAAACGGATTAACCGGCGGATAATATGGGTTACCCATATTATCCATGAAGTCTTGTATATGATCACTTTTGGGAGAATTCTTAGTTTCCCTAACTTGAGGAACCCCCAATTTGAGGCTTTACAAATGTAAAAGTTAGACTCATTGGTTATCCATTGGTTACTCATTGGTTATCCATTTTCTAAATGGATAATATGGTTCTTATCCATATTTGACCCATTTTTAAAAAAGTTCATTACCCAACCCATTTTATAGTGGATAATATGGGTGGTTAACTGTTTTCTTTTAACCATTTTGCCACCCCTAACTGTAACTTTAGATACTAACTATTCAAAACTTTTAATAGAATTAACAATCATACTTAATTAACAAAACTATTATCTTTATATATTTTTTTACAAAATTTGAGTACAAACAATAATAATGAAGGGACCCTTGGAGCAAGGGTAAAGTTATAACGGAAAAGGACTTAAAGTACCCCTATCGTATGGTAAATGGTTTATAAAAGCCCTGTCCATCTATCCGTCTGAAAATATGTAGGACGTTATTTCTATTTTCAAATTTACCCCCACGACTAACATAACTTCATGTGGGCATCTCATTAAATGATGTGGCATTATTTCATTTGTCCACGTGGCTCAGTGGGGCTGACATTGTATTTGGGTATTTTTCGACCATTAAACCGATCCGGCCCACTCCTTTTACCTTATACCCACTCTTTTAACCCAATACCCACATATTTTACTCGTCTTCTTCCCCAATTTAGAACCTAGGTCATCAGGTTGCTTACCCGATTCTTCTTCCCCAAAATTTCTCTTTTTCAACTAATTAAATCTTGTCTTTTTCCTTCGAATATTGTGGTTGGCTGTAAAAGTTCCGCCTTTATTGAATTACAAAAAATTCAAACGTCTGAAAATTCTGTCTCTTCTGGTTCGTCGCGTCGTTGTGGTTGTGGTTTAATTGCAAATCATTTTGTGGCCAAGACTCATTCGAACGGTGGTCGTCAAATGCCCTCGTTTTGATAAGGAAGCTTCATGTGATTGTGGGAATGGTGGGATGAAGAGATGCCACCACATGTGGTGATGTTAATCCATAACTTGAATACTTCACTGAAGTTAGTGGAAGTTGAAAGAAATTATCTTTAAGAAGATGGTGGCTAACTTGGAAGATGTTGTTTCTGCTGAAAGACTGAAAATGGACAAAATAATGGAAGAGCTAATTCAGCACAATTAGAGAAGGTTGCTAGGATGGAGGATAAACTACAAAATATGAAGTTATTTATTGTATTTTCTTGGGTTGTCTTTGTGTTGGTGTTAGTTTTCAAGATGATGTAGTGTAGTTAGGTTATTATGTAATTCTGTCGATGTTGTAATTTGCATATGTTTATGTATTAGGTTCAGATGTTGTAATTCTGCAGATGCTGTAATGCTGCATTTGTAATGGTTCTCTGTTGGTATGAAATGAAGTTTTTTTTTACAATTCTCTTCACTCTAATACAATATTTTGCATACAAGGACAATCACAATAACAAATAGAAACATCTCTTATAGATAGATAAGAAGAAGCATTGCCATTAATCGGTAGCAAATATACATTATTTCAAGATTTAAGCCCAACAAAACATTTCTATTAGACAAGTAAATGTGTGATCCAAAAACGTGTACCATTGTCACAACATTTACCTGTCTAAAAACCTAGAACATAAACAAACATCATGTACTCGAACAGTAATGCAAAAAAAGGGTTTTAATATATATTACATTCATCATTTCTTGCTACACTACTCCCACTTGCCCCTCCCCTTGCCTCTTCTAGCTTTAAGTTTGCCAATCTTTTTCTCTTTCACGCCCAACAGTTGAGTTGTTGTCATTGCCTCCTTCCCCTTCCAGGTAGTTCTCTTTTGGGAATATGGCAGTTTTGTTGGTTGTGAGCTACCAGTGTGATCACCTGTTAATGGTATCTTTCTAGTCCCAGAATTTTATTGATTCTTACACTGAAGTCTAGTCTTAATATCATAGACAGCCTTAGGCCTCAAAACTGGGTCAGCTTCTGCACCAAAGTCTGCTTGAATAAGCCTTCTTCTAGTCTGAATATTTTGACTTGGCATCTGAGTTGCCTGGGTGTCATGACTTGAGTGCTGACTTGGCATCTGAGTATAGAGACTGGATTGCTGACTTGGCTGCTGAGTGTACTGACTAGATTGCTGACTTGGCTGCTGAGTGTACTGACTGGATTGCTGACTTGGCATATAAGTGTTCTGACTAGATTGCTGACTGGACAGTGGACTTGGTTGGCTAGCCTAACTTGGCATTTGTTGGTCTTGTGCTTTAAAACCTGGATTAGGGACCATAAAAAATTCTGATTCTTGGTTATTGTGAGTACAAAAAACAGATTGTAAGTATAAACAATACATTGAAAGTATACCTTATTGGCTAATGGACAGCTTCTTTTATTGTGGTTTGGCTTGCCACAAAAACCACAAGTCATTTGAAGACCCTTTCTAGATGTTGACCATTCTCCTTGCCTTTTCCTAGCTTTATCCTTCTCTATTGACCTTTTCACTTTAGGTCTACCAACCATCTTTGCTAATGGTGGTGGTTCGATGGCTTGGTGTGGCTCAACTTTTCAGAATCTTTCACCTCTAACAGGTTGCAGTTTGTGCTGATACACCAACTGCCAAGCTTGTTTGGAATACCACCAGTGAATCCCAGTGTTGGGTCTTGTTTCTTATAATTGAACGCCCAGATAGCATGAGCACAAGGGATTTCAAACAAGTCCCAAAGTCTGCATGTGCACCTTTGTTGCTCCAAAATCACTGTGTGCCTGTCTTCACCTTCACTTATTTCAAAACCCTTTTATCCAATGAAATTTTCCTTGCACTTTAAAGTCATCTCTCTATAATCATTGTATAGCTCCATTGCATATGGGCTGTATTCACCTCTCCAACTGCTAACTTCATTTGCTCTATCCTTTAGTTGATTCATCACCTTCAACTATCAACCAGTAAACAAGCAGTTAATCAACAGTAGACTATTTAACAAGCAGATGTCAATTAGTAACATAGCAAACAAGCAGTTAGTCGGTTAGTCAACAATAACTAACAACAGATTAACAGTAGACTTCACTTTCACCCTTATATCATCAAGCATCTTCACAATTGGCTTATGTCTAGCTTCAAGAATCCAAGAGTTCAAAGACTCTGTAAAGTTGTTGTACACCATTGGGTTCTTACATTGGGTATCAAAGTTAGCTCTACACCAGCTTACTAGAGGATATTTCAGCAAGTCCCGGATAGCATCCTCAGACACTTCACCTAACTGTTTCAACATATCCTTAAATTCTTCCTCATATGTGCTCCAAGAACACCAGCATCCTCAGAAACTTCACCTAACTGTTTCAACATATCCTTAAATTCTTCCTCGTATGTGCTCCAAGAACACCACCACATTAACTTTTTCATCTCATCAGTATTCCAATTATCGCTCCAGTTTGCTTCAATATGCCTTACACAATATATGTGATATGATTGTGGACATACATTCCTTACAGCATTCATGTTCATCCCTCCAAGTTTTTATCTTTACCCCTTGATCTTTGTCATACTTAGAAATAAGATATTTAAAAAGACACCCAATCTGACACTTGTATCTAAGTCTTCTCCTATCACTCTTATCTACCTGAAGGCCCCTCTTATTAGAAACAACATAATAACCAATAACCTCCTTAGCTTCAGCTAGATCTTTGAAAGTCAACCTTTTTTCAATGTTTTATACCTATCAAGTTGGTCAGTTACCTCACACTTCTTTTGCCTCTCAAATAAACCTAGGGCATCACTATCATAATCACTATCAACACTTTCAATATTTGTATCATCCTCACTACTATCACAGTCAGAAGCTACAGCAACAGGTACACTATCTGTTGCTGTAAATTGGGTAAATACATGAACATTTAGAGTATCATCCAAAAGGTCAACACCAAATAATTGTACATCAGTGAAACCATCATTAATTAGGGCTTGAATCTTCCAAATCCCTTCATCCCCATCTAACAAAAAATACCTCCCAGATGGGTCAAGAAATATCAACTGTTGTACCTCAATAAATCCTATCACTTCAGTGTATTCAAACAAATCAATATAAGAGAGATGGTCTACTTCATAACCACTCAACAGGTGCACATCTGTCTTAGTATAAGACAGTGTAGGTTTCAATACCCATTCACCCCCATAATTAAAATACAAGTTCACTTTATCCACCATCCTTCGGATAAAATCACATGCAACAACAATAAATAAAAAAAAGGCAAAATGGGACCACATCAGTAGTATTCAAGGCTTAAACAATAAAAATATAAAGATATAAAAACCTACCATCAATTAATTATACAAATCGATAAAAACCCTAGCTTTAATATGTAGGACCAACACGACAAGGACCACCAAAAACAAAAGTAACATAAAAATTTCTAAAAAGGTACAAAAAATAGCTCAGATAACATAAAAACATCACATGCAACAGACATAAACTTGTCAGTTCCCAAATATTCCCCAACCCTACAATTTAATAACTTAAAGCTGTAAATACTTACTTTAATCAAATGATAATGCAAGATATTGCTGGAAATCAAATGTGTTCCTGTTTTGTGCGCATCAAATCAGACCAAACCACGAACCCTAAAGAAGCCCTAAAATCGTCATTTGATGGTTTAGATAGAAGAAATGAGAGAAATGGTGAATGTTTTGTCGTTGGGTATAAGGTAAAAGAACTGACCCACATAAAAAATAATGGGTCGGATCGGTTTAATGGGTCGAAAAATACCCAAATACAATGTCAGCCCCACTGAGCCACGTGGACAAATGAAATAACGCCACATCATTTATTGAGATGCCCACATGGAGTTCCGTTAGTCGTGGGGGTAAATTTGAAAATAGAAATAACGTCCTATATATTTTCAAACCAATAGATGGACGGGGGCTTTTATAAACTATTTATCATACGGTAGGGGTACTTTAGGCCTTTTTCGTAGTTATAATATTGTAATATACTGATACTTTCAAACTTGTTTTTGTGGCATAAATGCTTTTAAACAATCTATGAACGGATATGGGCTTTATTTTGTGAAAAAGAAGAGAAAAGAAAAAGGAAAAAGGGAAAAATCAAGAAGAAATCGAAATATAAATTTTCCTTCCTTTTCTATTCTTTTCGATTTTGTGCTTGGGTTGAAACAAGAGACTATTCTTTTCGATGTTGTACTTGGGGTCGAAACAAGAGACAGTAATGTTTAAAAAATAAATAAAAAAATAAATAATCGTAGAATTAAAAAAAAAGTACTATCAGAAAAAGTCAATGAGAAAATTGTGGTTTATGCCTTTTCAACATTTTCCTAGTTCAAATTTTCTAATGTATTTTACAATGAATGGGAACAATAATATATTGGTATACAAATACAATTTTCGTGTGTTCCCCAATCTCTGCTATAGCGTTTCTCACATTGCAAAATGAAAATTCTACAAATTTGATATCATTAGATATATACCAAGTTCTTTTGTCAAAATAATTTCTAAAGACACAAATGCACGGCAAGTATGTAGCCTTCTAGCTAAAGAAGAAAGAAAAAAGAATTATATGTCCAACTTTTACGTCCTAATAAGGCATTGTTCTTGTTTTTTAATAGCGTTGACTAAAGCATCCATTAAATTGAGTGAATTAAAGTAACTAATTGAGTGGTGCTGCAGTGCTGCTTGCTAACATACACAGTGAAAGGCTTCCGATAACACATACATACACAGGGAAAGGCTTTCGGAGTCCGAACATTCCAATTTCCACACATGACTCATGAGCTTCGGTAAGTGATGCTGAATAATTGCAAACCAAGAAATAACAACCAATGTTGAAATGGGATACTGAATTGGTTATAGATTAAAAACCATTTAGAAACAATGAAAAGCTACCAATGTTAACTACGACAAGATACACAAAAACCTGCAGATAAACGATTCCTTGTCCTTTCACAAAATTCACATTAGCCTGATTGGTAAATGCAGCTCAGCCTCCATTATCACAAGTTTGCTAGGATCCATAGACACCAACTTAAGATGCTGTCCAAATATATATCTGCCCACCGCTTGTAGCCCCTGCGAGCATTCCAACTTTCTCCTGGTGTGCATCAAACCGGCATGGAATAGCAGTCATGTGTTCGCTTCGTAAGGTAAAATCAAGTTTCTTGTCAGCTACTGAGATGACATCAACTCCTCTTTGCATATTGCCGATGTAGATGTAGGAATCATCCCAACCCCATATTCCTCTGCATCCCAAGTGCACATAGAAATGTTGTTAGTCTATGATGTCCAAGCATGCATAAGTGAGAAGTTGAATGTAAATAATAGCCACATTAACTTCTGGAAATATGCACACAACCAACTGCCTATCTAACCAGCACAAAATGTAACAGTTTACGAGTAAACATCTGCTCTATTCGGAATTAAGTAAATAAATGTACATCAGTTCTAGTTAGCTACATGCACCTTAACCATTAAACATAAATCCATTGGATTCCCAACTATTATGTTCATAGCAATCCAACACTTGGACAGTAGAACGGCAAAAAGAAGAAGAGGGAATACTTGCTCTTCTTTCGTTCCTGCATGCTCATTAAAAAATGAAAGACTTGGGCCTTCTCCACTACTTTCTTGGTATGGCAGTGTATCGGCAGGGGCACATTCTTATCCTTCGCCAGCAGAAATATGCCCTAGATCTCTTGCCCCGTGCCTACTAACTAACAACATGTATATGAAAGTACCTTACTGCTTAAGAGCATGACAAGATGGAAACAGAGAAGAAAAAAAGCAAGACAAATAGACGACGAGCTCTTAGGCCACTGACACTTAGACTCTTTCAAGCTTCTTATGCTTCCACTCCCACAGCCCCTACCTCATTTACCAATATCCAAAAGAAAAAAGAACAAGAAAGTATCAATCAAGTGGAACTTATATTTTGCGACTCAGCAATCCTCTCATGGTTAATGTCAAAGACAGCATAGTCTGAATAAAAGATCAGGAGGAAAGATCAAAAGTAGCCCTCATTGGTCATAGATAGAGAACCACTCAATAGACAGAGAACCACGCTGGCATGTAGTCAAATACCAGGAGGAAAAAATCAGGAGTAAAGAACAAAACTTATCTATGAGAGTCAAAAGTGCTTAGGCTTGTGGTCAGATACTCAAGTCGGAAATGTACACAAAGGCGTGTGCAGGTTGATGGATATGGGTTCACGTGAACCCATACTCCTCTCCCTAAATCATGTATAACAGTGTTATATTTCTTCAAAATTACTTAAATATATGTGCGTGAACCCATGCTGAAAGACTCTTATGGTGCAATTATTATTGGGTGCACCTCTACAAGTGAAATTGGCAGTTCAAATCCCACTCTGAACGGTCTTGTTTTCGGCATTGAGTATAGATATATATATAAGAAAATTACTAAAATTTCAAAAAGAATATAATTTTGAACCTATAATTTCAAAAGTGTAGCGGGTTCATGGTAAGAGACTAAAGTTGAACCCGTCAAACGTACATTCTAAATACACTTCTTCACAACAGTGCATCCTGGATCCGCCTCTGAATATACATGGTTCAAGCTTAAAGCATGTTATAGAAGCTGTCAAATAACATGCTTCTACATAAAGCTCAGAAAATAATTACTTGTTTATAGAGTTTGAGGTAAAGAATGTGCTTTCATCAGTTCAGTAAGTTCAGGATATCTGTTGCTTCAGTCTTGTCCCTCAAAAGATACTGTTACTTGTATTTACGGTCTTCCGTAAAAAGTGTCCCACTACAAGCAGGTCATATACAAGGGACTGATGCAAACCTATGCAATTAAACACAAGGTATTATCTCCCAAAAAAGAAGAAGAATAAGCTTGTACTTATTCTGTCCCATAAACTAGATGCTCAAAGACCAAGAACTTATATAGCTTCTCACAAATTATCTCAACTTCACATAAAGCTAAAAAAAGAAACTAGAATAAATATGAACGATAGCTTCTGCATTTTCAAAATTTAAAAAACAATAACAACATTTAATGCATAGAGGAGATGGTAATGAAATTCATAAGATAGAAGAAAATGTTAAATTGGCAATTAAGGGACTAGCTATACCTGAATGAGGAAATCCATCTGTTTGTATGGTTATAATGAGAGATCATAGATGTGTCTTCATAATTAGCGCCACTCAACAAACCAACTTTATCATCAATACTGCACGAACCGAAAGAAAAAGAAAAAGAATTAGCCATGGTAACATCGGGCGCAAAGCTGATAGTAAAGGTAACACGATTACAAATTAAGATATATTGAATGCTAAGCTTTCAATTTTCTCACACCATCCACAATAGAATTAAGGTACCTTGTTGTGGCAAGAAATCTTCCAGAAGGTGAGAAGTAAGCCGAGTGCACAGCTCTTTTGTGGAAGACAGTTTGCAAAGCTTTTGGTTTATGTGCACTAACTTTTCTCAAATCCCAAATGCATGCACTACCATCTGTAGAACTTGTCGCCATAATGTTACAGTTTTCTGAGGTAAAATCTATTGTGTTAATCCTTTCGTCATGCAGATTCCATGATGCTGAAGATTTTCCTGCCCTGAGATCCCAAATACCAAGTTCCCCACTGCCTTCGCCATAATATATAGATTTCATGTCATGTGGCTGCTGTGATATGGAAAATATGGAATGCTCGCTCAAATATACTAAATCAAACATTTCCCTTTCAATATCCATCATCCTGATAAATCCATCATAGCAAGAAGTGAACATCTGCAAAAGAAAAAGAAAGTGTAACCAAAAAAGACATATCTAGATCTATTCTTCACTTATTACAGCTTATCCAGACCTGTATAAAGAAAATGCCTAGTAGTCAAGAATCCTATTCCATATTTATCCTCTTAAGGGTATCGGTTAGCATTGATAAGAAGCCCTGCCTAGCATAATTCAAGTAATGAATGCAAGACAGCAAAATGCATTACCGCATAAAGCAGATCATGGAATAAAATCATAAACTTGTAAAGGTAATAAAAACAGTTTAAACACCCAAGTAATTTTCTAATCAGTTTTGCTTTTCTACAGTATGCATTTCCACCAAAATACTTTGGCCCTCTACAAGTTTCCATTTAACATGAACGCGCTATGCCTAGCTATATGAAAGAAAAGGTCAATATAAGAAACAAAGGTAAATCTGCTTTTTCGAGCACATATGTTCTAATTACTGTATCTGGAAAGAAATGGCTGTCCAAGTTAGAAAATTCCAAGATTAGAAGAAGTTTATCACTTTTGAAACAAATACTGACCATACCTTTGACACAGAAAAGGGATCCATAATTATTCCTGAAATTGGCCCCGAATGAGGATGATACAAATAAATCCCATCTCCATCATCTTGTGGAGCATCAACATTCCAGAAGCCTATATTGCCAAATTTGTTCCCTACAGCAACCATTCGGACATTGTTGGTGGGGAAAAACCGCACATTTAATATTCTTCCTGGCACAACCCGTGCTATGTTGTCTGGTTCCAATCTCAGTGATTCCAAATGAACTGTACCAGAGGCCTTTCTTTTCTCTGTCCAGTCACCTAAAACAGAATCTTGATCCATGCCCTCATTTGCATCGTCAATTGTATGAGAGAAACCCTTAATTGTTTCAATCAACTTTTGATTTGAGACATCAAAGTCGCCACTATATGCATCCCTCATACTTATTGGTGTAGGTTCTCGAGGCGACTTTTTGGTTGTGGGTTGTGAGCTCTTGTTAGGTGATATCCTACTTGGGAGATCATCAAAATCATCTTTTAGCCCACCAGCTGTAGAAGAATCCGGTGCCATACCTTGAGTCCTGAGAGACCGCCGCAACACAACTGGTGATTTAGACCTCTGTTTCTTCTGTGGACTCGCCAGATATGATTTACTTTGAGCTCTGCCACGTCGAACAAAATGGCTAGTTTACTTGCCCGCACAAATAAAAACACACTCATTTGACATATTCATTAATATAAAGATAAGAAGAGTTAATATTATACACATACTTCCCTATACCTCATTCAGAAGGGTTAAAGAACCACATAAATTGCACCGGAACAGCATATAGACTACTCTAACAGATATAGAATCATACAAACAAACATGAATATTGTCTTCCTTCAATCCAGTTCAATGACCCCACCCCTTTTCAATAAAAGTTGGAAACTTTTTCCTCTTGACTCGAAAAGATACCATCTTACACTTACTATTATTTTTATATACGAATAGACACACAGTATTATTTTTATATACGAATAGACACACACACACACAGAGACCCACAATAAAGCTTACAGTACTATAGAAGTTGACAGCATTTTCCCTTTCAAAATACAAGAAAAAGAAAACATGCCAGTAAAAATTTCAATAGTAAGTGATTAAGAAAAAGAAGTCACAGTTAGTAGGATAAAATTATTCAACTAGCACACTACAGAAATACAGATTCAGAACATAGAGAAGAGATATTACTTTGGACGCTTGGTGACAGCGGAAAGTTGAGAAAGTCGGGACTGAATCTTAAGGGAGGCAAGCATTTCTTCATTGCGCTTTATATTCTCAAGCCTCCGCCGCTCGTACTCCGTCATTTTCTCCTGCGCCATTCCAATTTCTGATTTATTCGGGTTGGTTATCAAATGGGTCGGAAATTGGGGAAGTGGTTTGGTTTTGCATTGAAATGTGGGTTACCGACTTTAGTTATATAGTGACGGTCTGATTTAGGCGGGAGAAATACAGTGGCGGGAAGTAATCTCGTAATCTACGTGGTGCATTTGTTGCCATGAATTTCGTGTATATGTATACCAAAAACAAAACAAAAAAATTATATAAATAAATTATATTACAATTATAAAATTCTTTTATTCAAATTAGAGTTTCAAAATGTGAGTTCACACTTATTTTAAGTGTGAACTAAAATGAAGTTACTAAGAAACAGCAAAAACAAACTTGTATTCGGTTTTATATCAAACCAAACTAACTTATCATGATTAAGTGCTAAAAATAATAATATATTTTAAGTAATCATAATTTAGTAAAAAATATATTTATGAAGATATATCCCATGTATTTATTGAATATGCATAAATACCGAGTGTATTGGTAAAAAATAGATTTTACACGTGTAATATTTCTGATGACAAGGCGATCCATGTGGATCAATAGAAACATGACAGCTGGTCGCAAATTTACAAAGAGGTACAAAACAAAGAAGAACGGAACAGCATATCCACGAGACAATTAGATGCGGGAACCTCAGTCTAATTGAGGAGTTGAAGAGACACGGTCAGAATGAACCAAGGCAGGATAAAGGGCAGATTCAAAGATCTTTAATCAATGAGCCAAATGTTACATAATCTTCGCGCAACAGTTACGATTACCTATTGTAACGTTACATTAATGATATTATCAGTCATTAATGCTCAATCATTAATGAGAGTAGGCGTTATATTAAGAAGTTCCATATAAAAGGGAAGAAAATATCACTTGTAAGGACACGTTCGGACTACTACTGAAATACATTTACTTTTACGCATTCTTGTTGCTTTCTTATTGCAAGTCTAATTGTTTCAATCTAATTTTCTTGATTATCAGTAACCCGAGTTCTTCTAGAAATATTAGCTTTGACCGAAATTCCTATTTTCTGGTTAAACAAATTGGTTCCGTTACCGGGAATCTGATAATCTATTACTTTCTAAATCAGCTTTTTCGTCAAATCAATCATGTCGAACGTCAATGACAACAATCAAGGAGACCATCAACACCAGGAGAATTTGCAAGGCGATGGAACTCCGGTCCCTTCCCCACGAAATTCTCCTCGACAATCTCGAGAAGGAACTTCTGATGGATCTCGGTCAAATGTGAATGATCAGTTTGAAAATGATGAGGCTATTAATGAAGCTTTGAAAAAGTTAATCGCTCAACAGGTCAGCAATGCTCTTGAGGCCTTCGCTAACCAGCTGCCAGTTGCGCCGCCAACATCAACTCTAAACAACAACACCTTGGAAAATCCTCGTTCAGGACTCGTTAACTCGGGTAGTGGAGAACTCCTAGCGAATCCCGTGATGGAGGGTCAGGTAACCCAGTTAATTCTGATTTACAAAATTTAGTACTAACTTTGCAGAAACAGCTCAAGGAGCAGAGTGACCGCATAGAGCAAATACCCGGAGTGCCGCCTGTAATCAAGGGAATAGATATGGACAAATACTCACAACAACCTTGGAAGCCAAGTGCTGCTCCTCTACCAATTCCGAAGAAATTCAAGATGNNCTTTGACTGAATGGCTCGATTAGTGGAGTATTACACTAGGGGCAAGCTTATGGTGTGTCTGTGTGGCAGTGTGAATGCTCTTTGCTGAGAGTGAGTGAATTTCCTTCTATATATGGTTCCTTGTTGTTGAATTTTATGTGTGTGTGGAACTTCTCTCAGATGTTGTTTATGTGAGGGCATGTGACTCAGGAAGAAAAAGTGAGTCTTCACTTCTGTTAGAGTAATTAGAGTGAGCACAAGTGTGTCTTGGCATGAGAGTCTGCATTTGAGATATAATTGTGCACTGCTTAGGTCGATCATTGATAATAGCAGGTGTGACATATATTGGGGCAATGCATTGAGCAGTTAGGCCTAGAAGCGTGGTTTAGTTTGCTCGAGGACGAGCAAAGGTTTAAGTGTGTGGTGTTGATAATAGGTGAATTTGACTATAATCACACCTTAAATAATCACCTTCTTGTGTAGTTTTAATGCTAAAAGTGATAACAAAATGCTCTTATTAGTGCTTTTCATGATTTGCGGGTGATATGTGTACAAGGAATGCTAAGGAGCAGTTTTGGAGTAAAAAATTGGAGAAAAGAGGCCAAATGTGTAAATTCCCAATGAAGCCACGCCCTGCCAGCCCTTAGAATTCAGAGAACTGGTTTGGCCGCGGTTCTACCGCGACCGCGGCAGAACCACGGTGGAAAGCAGCTGCAGAACTTCAGTGATTCCGCGAGGGTGATTGGCCGCGGTTCTACCGCGACCGCGGCAGAACCGCGGCAGGCGCTGAAAGTTCAGGGGTCAAAGTGTCAAATACGGGATTTTTAGACCTAAACCCTATTTAAAATATTAGACTTCGCCCAAGAGAGGCATGTAGTGAATTTTTAAGGTTTCTTAGCAAGGAAAACCATTGTGAGAGAATACTCTAAACATCTTTCTTCTTTTCTTTTGATTTTTATGATGAATTCAATCTTAGTTTATTTTCCCATAGCCATGAGTAGCTAAATTCCTTGTCTAAGGTTTTGATGGAACCTATTGGGTGATGAACTTCTTGTTTATGTGAATACAAATTGCTAGTTTAATCTCTATTTGTTCAACTTCGTGTTCATTGTAGTTAATTGACAGGATCCTCAATTAGCTGTGCCTATTTAGTGTGCATAACTTGGAAAAGAGTGCATATTTAGGGTATTGTTGAACAACACCACTCCTAGATTATTAGAGGGATCTATAATTGCGGGTTTAAAAGCGGGATTAGGGATAACGAAGCCTTGGGTGTAATCTAAAGTGAATCGTGCTAAATAAAGTAAGCTAGTGTATCTCGGGAGAGTGCAATAGTAAATTACTGTGATTACTCGGGAGAGATTTGCGGCAAGATTAGCGTTCATGATTGATAGAGAGGTGTTGGTAAATTTGTATGAACATAAACAGAAGGGAATCCATCAATAGGGGAAATCATTGCCTTAGCTTTTCCTCATAATTGTTTACAACCTTATTAGTTTAGTTTACAGCTATTTAGTTACTTGCAAGCTAGTTGTTAAAGAACACTCGACTGAGATTTGAATATTTGGGAAGCTGGTTCTGAATAATTAGTGGGTCTGAAGATAGTGGTTGATAGGTTAACTCTCTGTGGATTCGACCCTGGGCGTAATACTCGGGTTATATTTGCAACGTCCGCAGAGTCCTTTTTATAATGCATAGTTGGGCGTGATCACTTATCGATTCGGTTATCGATTACACCAATAAGAAAATTTGCGGGATTCCACGGAAAGTATATCGCTATAAACGCGCCTAACTAATATGGACAAAAAGAAGCTAAAATAAGATGAACACCATTTATAATATAAAAATTGTGTCAACAAGCACATGCAACAAAACTAAAGTAAGGGATCAAATGTATGCCACCAACACTCCAACGGTATAAAAAAAAACAAAACAAAACAAAACACATCATCACGGCTAATTTTGTTTTCCGTTAATTTGAACTTCATTCCCTTGATCTTTAAATATGATCATTCCTTAAATGTGGTAGAGGAAATAATAGGGTAAGGGACTTAGGGTAAAGGAAAGGGTATAAATTAGGGAAAATAATATTGTATAGCCGCTTTCAAAATAGTAGCGGAATATATATACATTCTGTATGTTATATTAATCTACACAAATAGGTAATTACTCATTTAACAAGTGTCTACAGTCTAGGGGTGTGCATTCGATTTATCGATTCGATTTTGACCCTTATCGATAATTACTTATCGATTATCGATTTGTACATATGCTTATTGTTATCGTTTCAATAAGGTTTCGATTTTTTCGATTTCGATAACAAATAATCGATTCGATTTATCGATAAACCGATTCGAATGCACACCCCTACCTCTAGCAAGGTGTCTCGGACCTTCTCAAACAGAATACGTGATGAGAGAAATACACGAGGGACATTGTGGAAATCATGCTGGAGGAAGATCTTTGGTAAAAACTATGATTAGAGCCGGTTATTATTGGCCAAAAATGGAAGAAGACGCAGAAAATTTTTTGGCAAACTGTGACAAGTGCCAAAGGTATGGTAACAACATACATCGACCAGTTGAATTATTACATTCAGTCGTTACACCATGACCTTTCATGAAGTGGGGGATGGATATCGTAGGTCCACTACCACAAGCCAAAGGCAAGGTAAGATTTTTATTAGTACTCACTAACTATTTTACTAAGTGGGTAGAAGCGGGAGCTTTTAAACAGGTACGAGAAAAAGAGGTCAGAGACTTCATCTGGCAGAACATCATATGCCGATTCGGGGTGCCAAAGGAAATCGTATGTGATAACGGCCCGCAATTTATAGGTGCACAAATCACAGAATTTTTTCAAAGTTGGCAAATTAAAAGGATTACTTCAACTCCTTATCATCCAGTGGGTAATGGACAAGCTGAATCAACAAATAAAGTCATTATCAACAGCTTGAAGAAAAGACTGGAAGAATCTAAAGGCAGCTGGCCAGAGATACTACCTGGAGTCTTATGGGCTTACCGAACAATAGCAAAAACAAGTACGGGAGAAACACCGTTTTCACTTGTATATGGAGCTGAAGCCTTAATTCCAGTCGAGATAGGGGAACCAAGTACGAGATATGCCCAAACTACCGAAGAATTGAACGAAGAAGAGATGCGGATAAACCTGGATTTACTTGAAGAAAGGAGGGAAACTGCACTAATAAGGATGGCAACACAAAAACAAGTTATTGAACGGTATTACAATCGAAAAGCTCGTCTCAGATACTTCAAGATTGGGGACTACATACTCAAGAAAGTTTTCCAATCAACAAGGGCAGCCAATGCAGGAAAGTTAAGTCCAACTTGAGAAGGGCCTTATAAGATTCGCAGTATCGCAGGAAAAGGAGCATGCGAGCTTGAAACATTGGATGGTAAAATTCTACCTTCA